TTAACAATACTCTCCGAAAAAGATGAATTGCTAAGAGAATCTCTACTATTGTGCACGGAGAATGTGGGTTTTCACTTCCGGAATACACCATACCGTCAGGTTGACGGCATAGCAATGGGTAGCCCATTAGGTCCTGTGTTCGCTGATTTCTTAATGTTGATGGTAGAAAGAAGCATTTCTACAGAAATATCCCAGGTGCCATACTACAAAAAATATGTCGATTATATCTTGGCTTTCTGTTCGTCGGAGCAGCAGCTCACACATTTGGTAGAACCGCTCAATGGTGCTCATGCTAACTTACGGGTTACATTTGAAATAGAACAAAACAATTGTCTACCATATCTGGACATACTCATAACTCGCAGGGAGGATGGATTGATTAAGAGGTCCATTTACCGAATATCGACTTGGTCCGGTCAGTACCTGCACTTCACCAGCTTCACACCAGTGCGGTACAAACGTACACTTGTGAAGACTCTAGTTAGTCGTGCCAGACGAATTTGTTCGGCCGACCGTCTGGACGATGAGCTAGTGTTAATTACAGCAACACTAATGTCGAATGGCTACCCTCGAAGATTTATCGAGAAACACAGCCAACCGCGAGGACCAAAGGACTTGGTGCACACGGCAGCCAAGAAGAAAGTGTATATCGAGTTACCTTTCAAAGGTGACTTAGCCACGCTGAAGACAACTAAGCGTATAATTTCGGCTACACAAGGAAGTTACTATGCTGCACAAATTGTCGTCATCAACCGAACCCGAAATTTGCCCATACCTCCAACAAAGGAAGCTCAGCCTATTGGGGCCAACTCACACTGTGTATACCAGTTTGTATGTGACTGCGGAAAAAGTTACATAGGCAGAACCAATAGAACGCTGACTTCCCGAATAAAGGAACATGTGCCAAGATGGGTTCAACGTGAAGTTGCTCAGATTACCTTCCTTCGTCAGATTCCATGTTCGCGCAGACCGCCGGCTTCCTCGATAAGCAAACACCTATTAGACTCGGGTCACCAATTAGAGCTGGACTCAGCGTTTAGTTGTGTTAAGTCACACTAATCCCCGCTTCCTTCGGTTTGCTGAAGCTGTCGCAATAAGCCGGATTAAGCCAGCCTTGTGTTCAGAAACAGTTATTTGTCAGCCTAAAGTTGCCTTGGACGTAGGTCTGAACTTCCGTCATTCATTTAGCACCTTAAGCTTGTCTGGTTGCACCCACTGTTAGCTATACCTATGCATATCGGTTGTTGTTAATGTTACTGAGGAGACAATACGAGATGCATGCATCTACCAGCCTTCGTCTTCTTTCCGTGCTTTTCAAATTGTTGAATGGAACTAACTGCTGTAAATATATATTATTGTTAGAATTAGTGGAAGGAAGTTTTATCGTTAAAAAGATCAGCTGCGACACAACGGATCCAGTCTGTACTTACTGACCTGGTCGGTCCCGAGGCTGCAACGGGAGGATGTCACACGTACCAGGTCAGCAGTGTTCCTTTGATCTTTTTTTATCCGAACTGGTACGCCATACTACACCGCTTGATCACTTCGGGGCCACAGTGAACCAAGCAAAATACTTGGAAACGAGGCATACTAAGGGGATGTCGACAAGCTTACGAAGAGCACCACCTTGCCAATATCCAGCATCGATACAACCGTACACTGTAATCTCGGTGCGTTGTGCATAGTCGTTGTCAAGCATAGTGGCGGCAGTTTAAAACATTTGAAAAAAGCCTTACATCCCGTTTTTGTTACCGCGATTTGTCACCTTACACTGTAAATTACCATGGTTCATGCTGACCCCCGTAACTGCCTTGTCGGTGTTTTGATGATATGCGATAGCATGATGTACAGCCACATGACAAACTTGTTACGGCTGGAATCGGTGATATTGTCTTAGACATTGAAGGCATTATGTTAGGGGGATCCGTGGTACCGGGCTTCAGGCGTTTAGGTTGGAATCCCCACGTTCCTGGGTCCGGACCCCGATTCCACGTGGATTTGAGCACACTTGCCTACAACTACTTGTGGCGAGGCAACATTGCAAGGTGCTGGCGTACTGGTGACACTTTTAGCAATGAAGATGCGTCAGTTTCCGTAGTTGTCACAACGATTCACGCAGCCACTGGCTCACTCTTGCCTTCTCCTTTTATCGACTTTTCACTTTTGTTTTCTCACTTTTTCCTCCCCTATTGAGTCAGTCACACTTTCACACTAGAGACCTAGTTAGTGCACGCAACAGCGTTGTTTTCTGACGCCTAACGACTGGAATTATTCCGGTAGAATGCTTGACTGCTTTGGTTTTTCACCTGACTATGCAAATGTTGTTTCATCTGGTTGTATTCCCCATTTCTCCGGAATGGATTGAATTACTTATTTCTTGTAGTTGGGTTTGTTGTTAGAGCTGTTTGCGTCAATCTCGGCATACCCACTCGGCGCATAGCCTCGGCCGGTGGCCGAGTGGTCTGCACGTTTGCTTTGCAACCATAAGGTCACCGGTTCGACTCCGTGTAGGGGTGGGCGTCCTCGCGGTATACTCAGCCCGCGCGCGACTGGTGGTGGTCGCGCGGCAGCGAAGCGCCGTTACGGCGTATAAGCTGACACATTTTTTTCATTTTCATTTCTTACTTGACATCCCGGAGATGTAGACGTTTGCCACACTTCTTTTTCGATTTTTATGAATCGCTTAAGTTCATTAACTGTGGTCGGTGCACCGGGTTCGGAGAATCGGGAGAGACTGGACAAAAATAAGTGTCATCAGATGCAATGGTTTGAATTCAGCGATAAGGGGACAAATGTAACCTCGTCATGGACATGATCTCTCTTGATAACTCCGTTTATAAAGGCGCCAAGCTGTTGTGGGATGTTTGAGTTATGTGTTCTTTTCGCACGGACACTATCACCAGTTCATGGACTACGTTATCTCTCAAAGATATCGTCTATCGAGTGACAGTTGCATCAGCCTGACGACTACGTTCCGATATCGAGGTCAGCGATGCTATGAATACCAAACAGTACAACACTCGTGTCACCTTTGAATTGAACTAGATAAGCGTAAATGACTATTTCCATGCTGTTTTGCCGCACAATTGGTTGATCGCCTCTGATTTTCAAACGCTGAGGTAGTTGGTCAAAAACTTTCGGAGCATGTGTTAGAGTCACCAAGTGAAATTCAAGTTCAACTGAACCTCTCTTGGGGCGCCTGTTGCCAAATCTTGGACAATGAAAATCAAGGTAACCAATTAGGCGGCTCCCAACCATACAAATAAATAACCATTTTCTTTCGTGTTCGTCGAGGCACATCATGTCAAGCATGATCAACATTTTTACAGCAATAATGTTTCACAATAAGTACGTAGCGTTGCAAGTAATGGGAGCAGTTTTTTGCAAACATCGGTGATTAAACACGATCTGCTTATTAATCTGTTGTAACGATACCAACGCCCTAGTCGGAGCGAATGTTCGGCTTCTAGGTACTGTGAGGTCCATCGTAGCCAGTTTCCAAATCAGATAGTCGTCCACATGCCCGCAAAAGCACTAGACTGCAGTTTCAGCCTTTTGGGCATCGTCAGTAGTGCGCATCCATCGGATCCGTCCGGATTCGAACCCGTGACCACTAGCAGATTGAACCGCCAGTCAGCAGCTTATGCCACAGTGGAGGATAAGACGCGCTATATCTCAGTTAGCTTGTAAATCATGACGGTCCGAAGCTGTCCCCCGTGGCCCAGTGTCATAAGCTGCTGACTGGCGGTTCAAGCCACTATTGGTCATGGGTTCGAATCCTGACGGATCCGATGGATGCGCACTACTGACGTTGCACAACAAGCTGAAACTACAGTCTAGTGCTTTTCCGGGCATGTGGACGATTTTCTGACTTGGAAACTGGCTGCGATGAACCTCACATAATTCCATCAAAATCCCCTACTCATGAGTACATTCTAGGTACTGTGCCTCGCGCGAACAGGCGACCGATCGAGTTCGGATTGACGCGTGCTGTGTGGCATAGTTGCCCAACCTTCTCTGCCTCACTGCATCAAGTTTAGCACGGACACTGCATTGCTAATTTGGACCCCCGACTTATACAAAGACAATAGCGTTCAACGAAAATGCTTTTACGTCTCAAGCCATAGGTGAGTCAAGGGTTGTACAGCTTGGAAATCCTAGTGCCACTGGCTTCGTTATTAGAAGATAGTCGTTAAGGCGACGCACGTGTCACCCGATAAACGGTATCGCTGAAGGGTCACACAGTCAATGAACTGACAACAGTGTTCGAATGGAGAGAACAGTATCTTCCGATAACACTATCATCGATAAGGAATTACGTAATTATCTCACTGCACGAGTGTCGCTGATCCATGCAGTAACACTTGTCGCACATTAGTGTTGTAACCCCTTGTCCGATGCATTCACCTACTGCTATATGTACAATTGACCGCGGGTGGAAGCTAGGTACTTACCTTGTTAATGTGTATCGTATTTTCCTCCAGATTTGGTACGACCGCCCAAGGATGTAACCCAATCAACAGATCAATGAACCCGTCTGTCAATTTCAACTGTTTTTTGAAAGGTGTTAGCTTCTTTTCGAATCCAACATTTAGACAGACCTGACTGATCGATGCTGCAAGGCTGGTGTTGACTGACAGCAACCAGAACACTTGGCTCAGAGGATAGTCTAGAGCCATGGCCATAACCCCAACATACAAGTATTCCCGGTGATTGCCATAATCACAATTGTACCCTTAATTAACTTTTAACTGGACTTGCGACCTCTGCTTCATTTCGCTTTCTGTTGAGTGAAACGTTGAGTTATGCTCTTCATGAAAGATCCGCTAGTGCAGCCTGTTTCCAGATTTTCTATGCATATTCTTTTGTTCGCCACCATTTCTTGCTCACTTTGTGTCCACTGCAACCGTACTGTTTCAATGCATTTCACTTAATTTCCCCTATTTGCATTGGTGATGCGCTTCCTCGCCATGTGATATTTCTTCTTTTTCTCCCGACAGCCGTGTCGAAATAACCCTCAAGTCATCCGATATCGAGCTTCGGTTCGATGGAACCACTGGTTTGCTGAAAGTGAGTTGTATTTGACCTTACCCTCTAAAGACCCTTCTTACCCACCCTCCTAATACAACATGCATACAGCGGTTTTTTTTAAGATTATTCCGCTTCCAGTCATGCTCTGATCCACTTTCCCTTCCATTTGTGTGCAGCGTTTCGTTGACTTGCATTCCGGGTTGCGTGTGGATGCCTCGATCGACTTTGTTTTATACCGCACCTCGAAAGATAGTCCTGGCAGTGGGGCGTACTTGTTCGTACCAACCGGACATGAGGAGGTGAGATGAGCCACATGTTTTGTTTTATCCTATACGGTCACCTTACTCTGTTTCCTCTTACCATGGTGTTTGATACTCCCTGTAGCCCCCTTATCCACCATTATCTCACTTGTAAATATTACCTTCACTTTATACTTGGCTGGACTGTAGTCGTTGGCGTTCGCCTGCTCGTCTATCTTGACTACGGCATATCAGGTGGTGGGCAACTGTTTACAGGATGTAGAGACTCAGCTGGTTTAACTTGCTTCACAGGTTCACGGAAGTAGTATATCAGTTGCTCACCGGCTGTCATATATTCTCGAGCAGACATTCACTTGGCATGGAGTTCACACCTACCTTCTAACGCGATGAAACAGTGTACGTCATTGAAGTTAATGGAAATTGTGCGTGTCTACCCAAAAAGACTACACAACACGATGCTGTTCGACTTCTTTCGATCTCTTCAGACCCCGGACACGGGACCATTGCGGTGTTACTTGGGACCTCTACCCCTTTGGCCACCGATTCACAACGGGCGACGCTCGACACAACAGTTAACGACTGATTGGAGGGCCATTTTGAGGTACTCATTATGTAGTTGGATTGCGACAGGTGATCTCCTCTTCTGAATTGCCAGGACAGCAGGCTTGTTGGCTCTTGTTCAACAATCTCGAACGGCTCGGCCTCTGCCGAACTCTATTTCAACTATCAGAATCGCTCGCCTACTATACCTCAAACATCATTTCCTTCATCTTACAATTCCCTTGTCTCGTTATATTCCCCCAACGCATCGTCCCAGCAGCGAACGCCCCCGGCCGATACCAATACAGCAACACCAATGGCTGCACTGCCTCAACAGCCGTTCACGGCATCTGAGTCACAGCAAGTGGACAATTTACCAGACTTAACGACCGACGCCATACTCTTGCATTATTGTGCATTATTGCGCTCTTTTTCCACAAGCGTGGGCCTAGCTCAATACCTGGCTTGCCACTGCAGCAACGTAACGGGATTTTTGGCTAATACTGTCGTTATCAACTGGACGGAGTTCAAATACTCATCGTGCAGCAAAACATTCAAGCGCAAGCATGCTTTCTCTCAGCACCGCCGTCAAGTCCATACGGATGCTTACAATGCAGACGGTTTGCTGCGGCTATTCAACCACCAGTGCAACTGGTCTGCGCTAGAGGACCAGACACATTTTGCCTGCGCCAAGGATGTGGCACCTCTCCACCCCATTCCGCATCCGATTTCCTTACCAATCAAATGACTGCATTAAAAAGCGTTCACAAGATCTCAGTTGGAACATCATGGGAGCAAGTGAACGCCTCTATAACTGCTCAGTCGTTTCAGTTGCGCACGCCGCCACACCATCTCTCCTTCTCACCCAGTCGCCACGTTCCCCTTACTACCCTTTGACCGAAGAGATCCACCCACCACTCCATTTGAGCTCCGCAGGCATGATTTCACCCCTCGTGGCGCGGTTCCCATCTGAGTGACCATCAAGCCGACTACAGTCACGCTGAATGTCAGCACACACAACAAACGTTGACGTGAGCTGGCGACAGCCCGCCGCTCTGTCCTCTATAGTCTATCGATATCCTCAGCCTCACTATGAGGAAATCACTCAAGGGTCCATTTGGTTGAATCATGCGAAGCTCGCTATAAATACCTTTGACCTAGTTACAGAAATCACAAGTGACCCGGCTGCCTTTCAACATCTTATGGCGAAAGCCAGAGAAAAACTGGCCCAATGCAACTCACAAACTGAACACCATGCAAGTTCTTTGCAAACAGTTATTGAAGATCTGCAAACGGGGTACTCATTTACGGCATTCAGTAACTCTGGGGAAAGAATGTGCTCAACCCTATTCCCTCACACATGGCGGCCCAGTAAGCGCAGACGACGAACATTTACAGTATCAAACAATCGTCAACGATGGCGAGTTCAATACGGTGACGTAAAACGCCTCTACCATTTGCAAAGAAAAGACGCTGCAGCTGCAATACTCGATGCTCGTTGGTACACGTTATTAGTGCCGCATGAAGAGGTGATCCCGGGCTTCGACGACTTCTGTATGGATGTGCTCTCGCAACCACCAATCTCTGATAATCGTGTACGACGGGATTGTAGAAATAGTATCTAGAATCTCATAAAACCCATAACCATTGAGGAAACGAGTTGTAAACTGCGAGTGATGGACCGTATCCCACCAAATTACATCAGTCCAGTGGATCCCAGATTCATTACATCTTTCTTAATGTGCTTATTGGTTTGTTCCCCTTATCCTACTCACATGAACTTGGCCCGTGTAACGTTCGTGCCGAAAATCCCCAACTCCACTCTGAAGACTTTCGCCCAATTTCCGTAACTTCAGTCTTCACTCATCTTTATCGAATTTTATTCGTTCGCTGGATTCCTGCATTCCCAGCTGACCGTCTTCAATTTGGTTTTCTTCCTAGAGTTGGCTGCTTTTAAGCCCCCCGATATTACACCACACTAAGATATTCACACTTGAACGGTATCTTGACATTTCAAAATCCTTTGATTTCGTTTCTCACTTTTCCCTGTTTTGCACAGCCACATCTTCCGGTTTCCCCTCTTTTCTTCTACATCACCTGTAGTCTTATTACTCCTCCTGAATTTCAGCCATCCTCGGTCTATGGATTCACCCAGGGCTGGAGTCCGTCAGGAAGATTCACTTTCTCCCTTGATTTTCATCATGGCACATGAGGAAGCATTGTACACACAGTCTGACACACAGTGGATTTCCCCAGCAGGTCCAATCGATCACACCGCTTACGCAGATGATGTCGTACTGTTTGGTCGTGACCGATAATCCCTGATCGAACATCTAGGGCGATTTAGGTAAGATATACAGCATCTTGGATTACCAATAAACCACATGCAATCGATGGTACTGGAAATCACCATCGACAGAAAAAGAAAAAAAGTTGCTTATTTTGACCACTGCGCAGCTCCCTGTGGTGCCCTCCAGATCCCCTCGATCCAGCCATTCGGGGAATTCTGACTACTTGGATCCCCTTTTGATTGGAAGGGCACAAGCACGATTGGACAGTGTGATCAACAGTTGGATTAACAGCGTTTTACTAGCTCCGATGCCAGTAATTGCTAAATTAGTTGCAGTTACGCAAGCAATGTCCGAGTGTTATTACCTAGAGCTTCATAGAGAGCCTTCAAAGTGTACCCTGGAACGTTAGCAAACATGTGGGCTTGCGCTCGGAGAATGTGGTGGTTGTGTATGTATGTGTGGTTTGGCAAAGCTTCTGCTACAAGTGCATTAAACGACAATGTAGAGAGAATACGGTTTTGATTTCGGTTCTGTCAGTTAGCACTAGTGCTCCCGAGTTGAACGAGCCCAAGCGCAAAGGTGGACGCTGAGATGATGATGGAAAACGCGCTGAAAGTCAGAGCACTGAAACTGCACAACAAGCACGCAATGATTGATGATCCGACTTATTTTTCTCTAGGGCACCTTGATTTTACCTTTCCGGACCCCTTTCGTCACCTGTTCTCACAACGATCTTCCCAGACTATCTGTTTGCTAGATTTTTCCCGTATTACTCCAAGGACTGCCTCATCTTCCAGCGGAAACAATACCTTTTGGTTAATATTCTGGTCATCTTCCCCACTTACTTACTGTATCTGGACTGTTTTGCCTCCCTAATCAAGGATGCCCTTAATCTTGCTCTCTGGTCCCGTGCCCTTACATATTTACTTCTCAGTTTGGTTTATCCAGGGGTTTTATAAAAGTGTCATTTTGGGTTCCGCCACCGCTTCTGACGCTGGGCTCATTTTGTGCTACATCCCGTTGATTGTGGAGCATCTGTTAAGTGAGACTAGTTCATTCTCCGTCGCAGGGCAGCTCTATCTCTTGCGTTGTGATCTTTGATAATGAGAAGAGAGATTTGACGTTTCATGAAAACCTTACTTTCAAACCTGATCCTTAATATGCCTAAACTAACAGTCCTTTTGTTCCTTTCAGGTGATGACGATGCCTACACAGCCCTCGATCCGCGTCCTTCGTGGCCCTCTGACAGAGGAAGTAACTGTCTTCACTCCTCTGGTAAATCACACCGTTCGTTTGTTTAAGGACGGTGAGTTTGCAGTTTCCGCTATGCCATGAATATTTGTCACACTTTCCTGCGGGTTTCGGCCAGTCTATTTTGATGTATCTCTCTTGTCAGTGATTCGCCTACTCACTTTTGGCACAGACACAACGGATTCACATGTCTCGACGCGCCTCTGCTCACTCTCCGCTTTCATGGGAACTCACATGTTTCGCTACACCTCCGCCTTCTTACGCAATAACGTTCAGATCGTGTTATGTGGAAATTAACATGCTTCGCCAAACTAGACACATCCTCTAGGCTGTATAGCTTACTATTCACATTCGTCAGGACACAAATGCACTCTGTCGACAGCCTGTCCACTCTTTCTCTGTTGGATTTTGGTGCGTCTGCGGTGTATGCTTAAATCACGTACGTAAGAAACCGTTCCGACAAGAGCCTGTCATTCGTTTCTGGAGTAAAACTCGCGGTGACTGTGTCGCACTTCCTGACTAAGCCAGCCGTTACAAATAGGCCGTTTAACACGCTCCAATTCTATTACACCATTTCTCAGTCAATCGCATCCATAGTACAATCCAATTTCTACTTAAGGTGCGGTCAAATTACATCCAGTTGTGTACACACGCATATAACGAATCACCCAATGGAATATCAGACAAGCAAACACTACGAAATGTCAGCATGGCTGTTGAGCCCAGACCGAGTTGCAGCGCAGAGCGATCGCGTTTAGGGATGAATCTAGCAATCACTGGTTACACTGACGCTGGGCCCACGCACGCTGGGAGACACCCACGCGGTCAAATTCGAGTGAGCAGCAGTTGAAGTCTCTATTCACGATCCTCAGCTCGTCTATGAGTGCCGTGTTTTCGTGCACGCTAGCATTGTACAGTGGGAAGTGTGAGAGCAGACGGGCTGGTCCAGTTCATAAAGCCAGTGACGTAAAGGCAAGGCTGAGTACGTAGTCAAGATGAACCTCTTCACGGGGCGGAGTATGTGCGGGATACGGGGCCAACGCAGAAGTGAGACAGTGCGTCCGGAGTGTGAAACCTGATCAAGCAGGCCGTGTATGAAATCAAGGCGGTTACACAAAAAAGGGTGGGGAGGAAAACCAGATTCCTGTTCCAAGAGAAAATAGAGAAGAGAAAAAGAGAAGCGCGGAGGACCCAAGTGAATAGCGTCGTTATGTTGCTCCCCGCAAACTGCTGCTTAGTTGTTTTATTTAAATATCGTCTCAGGCTATATTGCTGTCTCATAGCTGGCTTGAGGTTTGTTTTAAGGCGCCAGTTACTTTCATTTGGATCCTTTGATAAAGAATAAATTGCACGACTTAGAAGGCTTCTCGAACGGTCTGGCTGCTTATGAAATACTCGTTCTAGCACTTTGTGGCATGGCGGGTTATCGCAGATCAGAAGACAGAATTCGATAAAGGTTGAGCCATTGGTGTCCCGCGTGCGGGTACCTTAAGAAATGGAACAGCTGCTGTGACACACTAACGGATAATTATATTTCTACATCCAATCGTCTTTAATGTTCCCTATTGATACCTATTGAACTATGCAACACACCTTATATAAGATTTGCGCAATAACAAACATGACTTTCTACGATTCCACGAGAAGTATCAAGAGCATGGACGTCCATTGTTGTTTAAATTCAATAGTCCGTCCGATGCAACTAAACATATTCAATGCGGACCACTAATCCCATCGTCTACGGTATCCAAATTCGTCGCCGATGATGGTTGGCGGCGGATTTGCGTGCCACTGTGATCAGCCACAGGACGCCTGCGCCTACATAGGGACCATGGATGGCTTGCGCTGCACCACCCACAGCTCCATCCACACACGCCATATGCAGTGTAAATCCGAAGGAATAAGACCGGGAGGCATGTGGATGGGAGCCACGTTTCCTCAACGGAGCCGGCCCACAGCATTAGGACAAAATTACAAACCCACCACCTGAAATAAAGAGACTCAGCATGCAAGCACGCGGTTAGTAAATCGAATGCAGCGCACCTACAACCGCTGCGCCGGTTCTGTCTACTTTCTCTGCAGGACAAGTTGTCGCTGCGGTGGCGGTCTTGAGTGGCCTCGTTGATGGCTCACTAGCTCTGCCTGACTCAGGCACTCGCGACCGCATGTGCTACGGCACCATGCGCTCGATGTCGATGGAGTACAACCCATCGGTGCTTGTCGCTTCCGCACTTGCCGCTTTTTCTGTGCATGTATGAGGTCATTCTTCCGCACTTCGGCAACTGCCTTCGTGATTAGATCGCGCCATGCACGCCGATCAACCGCCTTCGATTCCCATGACCTGCAGTCAAGATTAGAGCGTGAGGTGTCTCAGCAAAAGTATGCTGCCCACTACGTACATTCCACTACGGCGCAACACTTCCGTGTCCCCAACTCTGTCGTCCCATCTGATGAGCAGAATCCGCGAAGCATTTTCCGGAATGCGTGACAATAACTATTCTGGTAGTAAACGATACGTTGCTCGAGGACACCTGCCCAGAAAAGACACAAATGCAGACATCACACAATGAGAACTCAGTGACTGCGATTGACGCAAGCTACAAAACACAGAACTTGATTGCACAGACGAGTAACGCCTCATCTTGCAAATTAGCACTTGCACATCTCTCGCTAATGTCCCAACAACGTCGTGTTCATCAACAATTAGCAAACATCAAAGCTGCATCGTGAAACACCTCTAACAGCCCCAATGCAGGCGAAGCCCTAGCGACCCCAAGGTAAAACAAGGCCAGATATAGTCAAACTTATCTAAGGCGACCACACAAGGGACCGACAAAAAGTGGTCGCCTTGGACAGGTGGTCGCCATGGACAGTACTCAGAGGAGAAAACCTTGGGGATTCTTTTGTATAGTCGCCATAGAAGGTTGGACTGTACCATATTTCGGCAACATAAACGGGTATAGAACCATCAGCTGCCTCCAGTCCAGTAGTTGTCCTTAATGTCCCCGAGGGAATTTCTGAGAAGCAGTCCTAGATAAATTGAGGGCATACGCTCTGTAATCCACAGGTTTCCGGTACTCGACTCTCACTAAATACCCACTTACACTTCAGAAACGAAGAAACACTGAATAAACATTGCAACAACTTGTGGAACTTCACTCCGTATCCGAAGCTACGCGTCACTCACCATAATACCAAAAGTCGTTCACCCAAATTAGCTTCAGTGCCACTATCAAACCAGCCTGTTGCTTCAGTTTTTCGCCCTAACATATGTCAACATTTTTCAGTCACTAGCCATCTACCAGGTTGCCAGTAGCCGAATTCCACAAAACCAGCCAGGTTTAACTATCCTTTTCCTAACGAAGTAGTGCAGGTATATATGCGTACGTGCTGAATAAGCAGGAAAGTGTAAGAGTCGACGGTCTAACAAATCATTTGCAAAAGAATTTGTAAGATCGCAATCAAACATTTGTCAGATATCCTATCCATTCTAAAGCTGGGAAATATCCCGTTCCGTCCGGTAGCTGTCTTGTCTATTTCAGCCAAACTCTAGCTGTGTGACTCGTATAGGAATCATAGGGATGGAATGTGATTCGCTTCCTATGGATAATCGAAGCAAACACAATGTTCATTTGAGCACATTGTAGGCATTTTGCTCCTTTATACTTTATTGACAACTTGATTCCGGGGTTGAACGCTAGCTTGAGCTGCGCGTCGAGGATTTCCGCTGCACCAGATTTGACATTATCGCGCAATAGCATAAGACACAGTGCTTACTCTGTCGTTTCTAAGGTGCTCTGCGAAAACAATCGTTTCAGATACTTTAGCTTTCTCGTATGTTAGTGAGATATGACGAGATGTCAGAAGGCTGTAAGACAGCAACTCAAAACGATCTCCTGAAAGATCAGTCGGGAATATATCATCATCCACCATAAATATTAAGATGACTACAACTTATCAGCTGTTTTAAGTTTGCAGGGTCGGAGGGCATGTACTGTGGTCTGTCTACCTCAGAGACTCGACGTCGGCTTGTTATTTCGGTACGTCATCAAAGTGAGGTGGCCAGTCGGCTTTTTTCGTAGAGTACCATAAAGTAATAAATTGTTCACCTGGGTCCTTCGCGCTTTATTTGTGCCTTCACTTAGAACGAAATTTCGTCTGATTCATTTAGCCTTCTTTGTGAAACCGTTCTGACTTCATTCACAATGGGCTTGATTGCGCCTCACACTCCGGCCACACTGTCTCACTTCTGCGTTGGCCCCGTATCCTGCACATGCTCAGTCCCGCAACTACGGACCGGTGTTGACTCAGCCTTGCCTTTACGTCACTGGCTTCATGAACTGGACCAGCCCGTCTGCTCTCACACTTCCCACTGTACAATGCTAGCGCGCACGGACACAATGTACGCATGGCACTCAGACAAGCGAATGGCTGAGGACCGTGTATAGAGACTTCAACTGCTGCTCGCTCGAATTTGACCGCGTGGGTGTCTCCCAGCGTCAGTGCAACCAGTGTTTGCTAGATTCATCCCTAAACGCGATCGCTCAGCGCTGCAAATGGATCTGGCTCAACAGCCATGCTGACATTTCGTAGTGTTTGCTTGTCCGATATTCGATTGGCTGATTCGTCGCAACGAAAAGTACGCGGTTATATGCCTGTGTACACAACTGGGATGTAATTTGACTGCCCTATGGACTAAGTTGTGTTAATTTTGGGGGAGCATGACTTCCTTAAGGATCCATTGGGTTGTACTGTGAATGCAGTTAGTTGCAAGTTATGTAGTATATTTTATTCTCGGATGTCCTCTCGATCCAAGTTCCTGAGTGGTATTTAGTGTGTTATGAGCCATTGTTTCATTTACGCCAATAGGACGACAATCATTTTCATCTACTGTTCTGAATATCAGCCGAAGCATCAAGCTGTTTTAAGAACATTTACGTCAATTACTTGAGGTGTGACACACCTTCTCATTGGTTTCCATCTACTCTACTTCCTTTTCCAGAGGCGAACACTTCCGTTTTGACATATTATTACCTAGCAGTTTCTCCAACCCACTTTCACAACAGCCAGTGCATTCTGATTTTGGCTCAGATTTGTAGGTTGCAGAGAACTACATCAACCCAACTGGGATCGCACAGAAGCCATGACTGACGTTTCACGATTTAGACCATTCCAAGCCTCGAGTAACAACGACCGATCGTTGCAATATATCATTACACCTAAAATACCAGTTTGACCCAGCGGTTTTGGCCCTCCCTTCTGACGCTAGCTCATATTCGTCAGAACTTCGTGTGACAGTGACTTCTCAAGATGCCCCGGCTAATACATTGATCTTGTGGGCATCATTTGTCTGAACCGTTGTAGTATGCGTTCGCTAAGAAGTACGTTGCTCCTACTCGTCTCGAAATGATAACATGCTTTTGATCTAGTCTCCCAGCATCAGTTTAGTCTTGTTTTTTCTAATTCACACAATGTCACCGATGTTTTTGTAACCATGTAACCGTGGCTGCCTTCATTGTTTGGCTTCCCCCCCCCCCCCACAAGTTCTGTAGCCTTGTGCTTCGGATTACCCGTATTCCACCGCGCTGTGGATTTCGCTCAACCTGGCTGTCTGTGCGCATGCACAGTTCCCGCTTGGTTTGAGGTGTCATTTGAAAGTATTTATTGTGTGGTTGGATTGCAACGTACAATCTCAATGTGGACCTCGGAACTCGGTGACTTAGAGGTAGCGGTTTTAACTAACATCTCAAAGGCCCCGGGTTCAAATGTCTGCTATCCACACCTGATAAGATCAAATAAGTTCGTAACAGCCCTTGGAGTGCAGTGTTTTCATGTGAGAAACATCCAGTATCCCACCGTTTCCACTTGTATTGAACAAGAGCCAAGTCGCACGGCGACCAACACGCAGCCTATACACGTTCACGTTGTTGTCATTGTATCACATGAACAGCGTTTTCCTTGTTAACAGCGTTGTTCGATCCACAGGTGCACATGCCTGAATTCTTCGTTTTTTCCGCTTTTTCCATTGCTTACTTTTTGTCATGTTGACAGGTCGATCACCCTCCGCTTCGGTTCAAATCGAAAACGTTGTGAATCTGAGTAACCACTCGAACTTAGAGTTAGTGATGCGTATTCGGTCCAACGTTTCTACGCCGGATCGCTCTTTCTACACGGATTCCAATTGTTTCCAAGTACGTCAACCACACGCTGTCCACTACTGCTCTGCCTTGCGTTTTATCTCTGTTTGCGGACATAAACTTAGGTCTCATCCATCTCGTGAAGACTGGGTTGCCACCCGGAGCTTATCCAGCAGCTCTCGTTTTACGAATGCACCCTCCTCCTTTATGTCAGACTCCAGTATTATCTCAAGAATAGGCATTCTCTTGGTTTCCGTTAGTTACTGTAGGATGATAAATGCTCATCTATAATGAGTACTTCGTGAACAAGCAGTGCATCAAACTTTGCTTGGTTGCGAAAGCTGGCTCATCAGATCGACAGAAATAAAGTGTATAGTTGCTTTTAGTCATCACTGTCCTCCCAGTTTAGCTCATGTCTGGTGAGAACTCCGCGTAAAGTATGAGCGTGTTCGACATCTTATTTATGGCATAGGAAGAACAAGTGAACCGCTCAGCACCATTGTACCACGCATTTGGCTCCGATGGCTGGGTCACGTGTTTCGCATGCTAGCACACTGATTTCCACGTCGTGCGTTGTTTGCTTGACCGGAGTCGATGGAAGAAGCGGAGGGGAGGCCAAGAGGAATAAAGTCCCTCCCTTCGAATTTGGTGTCCGTTAGTGTCGTGTTTCCACCGACAGTACAGATAACCGATGCTACCAATCTAGTTACGAATCAGCAAATCAGGAAAACAAATCAGAAAAACAAAAACCTCTGGCGGAACTTGTACGGAGCAGACAGATTGTACAACCAAAATATTGGGTGAAAATAAATAGTTCCTAATAGAAAAAACATAATTGAAAGTTCCTGACTATAGCAACTACTAAATGCGCAAAAACGCTTGTTGGCTGAGCAAGTAGTGTGCTTACTGGAGGGCTTCAAGGTAAGTCATTCTGATTGGTCCATTTCAAGGTATACGATGCCATTGGCTTACTCCCATTGGTTAGACAGTCGGCTACAGGCGGCATACAACCAATCTTCTGCGGACTGCTCCAGACAGAGAGAGCTAACTTCGATAGCTGCTATGGACGGGCTCCGGTAACTGTTGGTGCCTTCCGACTGCCGGGCTGGAGTTCCAAGAACAATTAGCTCACTTGCTTGATTACACCTATTGACATGGCGAGAAGCCGACTTCATTGACGTTTGTGTTATGATTTTCTTTGTTCTTCTTCATCCCGCTCAGCTTTTTTCTCCAAGCACGACCTCACATCCGATGCGTAATATGATACTGAGGTTGCCTTTGTTTTTAGTTTATGTTTTGTAATGTTTAACATTTCTTTCTCATATATCTTATCTTTTTATATTGCGGCCCAGCAGCTGAGATTTTTTCCACCTTTAGCTGACGTATAATGATGATGGTTATATAATTGCATCGGACTTACAATGTGGTTCCCCTTTGCGAGCGCTTCACGCTTTGGCAAATGTCTGACACTCCCAAGGTGCACTTGACTGTTACAAGACCGGGTCGACACACCACTAGTTCTCATTATCACTGACCAACACTCGAATTGGTCAACCTGTTCACTTATCCAAGACCTTTGGACGTTCTTCTGTTCAAATACAAAAGGCTTGGTCAAGGCCAGTCTTTCTAAAGCAAGTTAATGGCTGTCAGGTTCACAAATGCGCGTAACCATCCCTGACGTACTTCGCTTCATCGAGCCTTGTGTTGAAGAGTTCAGTGTGTTGGATTGTCAGTATATCCCTCATTCATTCTTTCCTTTTTCTCCTCTCTCTTCTGCCAGCCCTTCCGCATTCGTATGATGAGTTTTCTGACTTGCGCAAAGTACCATTGTGTCTGCCCATTACCTTAACTTATGCTGCCTCAGTTTACGCGGAACAACAGTTTCACGCCTATCTAGTGTGAACAGAGTGCGTCGCTTACGGTTAGCTTTCTGTACCCAACTCTTCCGTCGGTTGCGCGCACCGCCCCTGTAACTTTTCAACTTCGTCATTGAGCTGCTTTTACTCAATTTGGCTGATGACACCTTGTATGGCGACGACCTTCATGAGATGCAACGATGTTTGCCGGATCGGTGCTTGAAGCGTGTAACAGTTGGATGCGCTTTGCCCTGCAAGTGCGAAGCCCTCTTACAGGACTAACGGACACCCTTCGTCTACTGTATCGGAAAGGCACACTTTGAACTGTTACGCATGTTTTTGTTCATCTCAGGAGCTGTTTCTTCCGATAGTACTCTTTAGAGGAGATATCACTTCGTATTACCAGAACCCAATCGGTCTTTGGCATCATCGTACCATTTCGTTCTCGTTATAGGACAGGGTTTCCATGGCTCGCGATACTGTAGTATAAGCGGAAAATTTAGGTAGATCCTTTTATACGATGTGCGTAGACTCTCGACCTACGGCAATGGCCGTTTGCGGAGGAGTACCAGCGTGGGACCGCAACACCAGGTGTGCAATGCTTACACAGGTCACCGTGCATTGGGCGAGGCGAATCTTCTCCTCCTAGTTTGTTTTGTCGCACCTATTGAAATGGATTAGTAACGTCGTGCGCATGTCTAACAAGCACATAAGACTACACTAGGAGAGGCCACGTGGAACTCAGCTTGTTATTTGCTGATAAAGCATATAATCCTTTCCTTATTGTCTAGCCATAATTGGCAATCTAGGTCTTCCCAGCTGGTGACCAAAAGATGAAGATCGCCATTGGCTTCTACACTCGAAGCAATGGCACAAAACCGGTAGGTTTTAATTAACTCGTGATTTCGAATGAATTAGCTCTTAGGATGTTCCGAGAAAGCGAAAACTGTATGGGAAAAGGCGAAATATTGTTCTTTTTCTCAATTACTGATTTATTCTTATGGGCACCGCACATCTTATCTTTCTTGGTTCACATTTCCCGTGGTTTACAATTAATCGATGTCTATTCTGTAGGATGATATCAACAATGGTTGGCGGCATCCGATTCCAGGGTTGTCTGCGGCCACAGAAGGACCATGGGTGGCTTGCGCTGCACCACCAACAGCTTCATTCACACACCCATATCCAGTGTAAACTCTAAAGCATGTGGATGGGAACCACCTTTCATCGACGGAGCCGGCCCACACTCCTTCAAGATACACAGTGGCAACATTCCGGTCTGTCTAATTGGGGAATCATGCATACCAGATGGAGTACACTCTATCGGCGCCTGTCGTTTCCGCACATGTCGCTGTTTCTCCGCATACATTTGAGGGCTTTCTCCTGCACCTCGGCAAGTAACTTCGTGCTCAGATCGCACCATGCATGCTGATCAAGCGCCTTCGATTCCCAACCTCTGAAATCAGCATTAGAACGTGATTGGCTCACGTTGATGATGTCTTGGTAACGAAACCTCGACTTTCCCACATTCCGCTTTCCCCATATATATATATATATATATACATATCAGGGCGGAGGTGCAGCTGAGTGGACAGATCTTGGGTGACTGCAGTTGTCTGTGGTGTGAAGCAAGACTGTGTCCTGGCTCCTGCCCTGTTTAATAGTTATCTTCATGCTATGATGTTGTGTGCGTTTGACGCGGCTTGTGCTTACGGTGTTCGTGTAGAACACTGTCTTGATGGTGGGTTACTGAACATCCGTCGTTTTGGTGCGAGAACCCTAGTCTGTGAGACAACTATACATATGTTGATGTTCGCTGACCACTGTGCTTTGTTTGCACACAACGCGGACGGGTTGCAGCACGACTTCGGCTTTCGCTTTGGCAGCGGCCAAATTCGAGCTCACCATCAACATACACAAAACTGCCTCTTTTTCAGTCTTCACCGGAATTGCAATCTGTAATGGTTCCGCAAATCAATATTGGGCATGACGTATAGGAAACCGCCTCCAGCTTCTACCTTGGTAGTGTGGTTTCGACTGACCAGTAAATGTACGGCTTCGTATCGGCGTCTGGAAGTCAGCGGTGACATTTGGGAAGTTAGTACCGATTGTGGAACAACCATCAGCTTACTGTTGGCACGAAGCTGATGGTGTACAAATCCATGGTGTTATCCGTTCTTCTATACGGCAGCGAAACGCGCACAATATCCCAGCGGTTTCATCAAACGTGTCTGCGACGGATTCTCCGCATTGGTTGGTGCGACAGAGTTGCAGACACAGAAGTATTGCGCCCAAGTGGAATGTATGCAGTGGACAGCATACTATTGTTGAGACGCCTGAGATGGCTCGGTCATGTGTGGCGTATGGATTCGACGCGGTTACCGAAGTAGCTGTCATATGGTCAGCTGAGAGTTGTGTAACCGAAGCTTTCTTACCAAGTCATGAGCTTTTCACGTTGGGAATCGAAGGCGGTTGATCAGCGTGCATGGCGCAGTCTGATCACGAAAGCAGTTGCCGAAGTGCAGGAGAAAGCCCTTGTGTATGCAGAGAAGAAGCAACAGGTGCGGAAACCGCAGGCGCAGATGTAGTGTACTCCATGGATGTCGTGCGCATAGTGTTGCAGCACATGCGGTCGCGAGTGCCTGAGTCAGGCAGTCCTAGTGAGTCCACTCTGGTCCAGCACCGAAACAACGACGGGCTATTTAGAGAACGTGAGCAGAACCGGCGCAACTTTGGTAAGCACGCTGCATGCGCTGCCATTCGATTCACTAACCGAGTGTTTGCCTGTTGAGTTTATTCTTCTCAAGTCATTGGTTTGCAATATTGTCTTAACGCTTATTTAGTTATCCTCTTTTAATGTCTACCTAAATAATCTATTAACTTTCACACCTCGCTTAAACGATAGGTGGTTAACTTCGTTTATTTTTTTCGTTTGTTGCATTTTTTGTTCTCTTGTTCTGACATCTTGAAGTTATTGCGCATATTTTGATAACCCATTTATTTCACATGCATATTTAGCGAAGAGTTATGCCGGCATATCCGTATGCTGTTTTCGATCCGTTTTATTTGATGATGTCATTTCAAGTGATTGGCTTGCTCGACAACCCCCGTGTGTGGTTGCGATTGATGTGCATGTTGAAGACAGTTGTATGTTGCTGGATGGGCGGGGTGCACGGTCCTCATGGCTGTGTTACGCTCGAAGCTTTGTTCCGTCCAGTGTGGAACGGACTACCGTTTAGCCACCACCTTGTGTGCGTTTGATTCCCCAAGTACAGCGTGTTGCGTGCCTGGTTCGTCGAGCCGCGTCAAGAGAAAGAACTCACACCAGCTTTGCACACAAGCGTTCTATTCACACGTCTGAGGTAATGTACAATTAGCTGTGATTTCAAAAGCTCACCCGCCCACTTAATCGATCGCCTGATCGACCACACTGAGGCGAGCGATTTCCTTCGCCCTAGCTATCAGCCACCATCACATCCGTTCCTTTTTTCGTTGTTTTGGTGTTCCATGTTTCGTATCACCTTCCAATGTGACAGAGCTTTCGTACCTGGGATGCGATGTTAGTTGGCTTATTTTGCTGATGCGGCTTCTCGTCTGAGTGCTGTGCCTGTTCACCAAATCGCCAATTCAGCCGAATTCTATAGTTTCCCTATTTTTTCCGACGCCCTTCAACTCTAGGTATCTGTTTACGCCATATTTTATCTCCAGGCGCTAGAGTATGAGACTGCCTGGGTCGGTGTTTTTACGCGTTTTTCGTCGCCGTGAAGGCTTTCGAAAACGGTCTTGCAAAGGATTAGTGGCATTTTTTAAATTGCAAATGTACGGTGGTTCCGGGATCAGCTTGCGGTTGAATTACTTGTTCCTGAATCGCCAGTTTTGCACTAGCGCATCCCTCCTCGTTATCGTCCAACTTATTTACTGAAATCTCTTGGTCTTCTTGCTGATTTATACTATCAAGTGACCAACGTTCGTCACTCGACAGCTACGGGCGAAATGGTTCAAGTGGCCTTCACAATAATCACCAAATCTCTCAAACGTTTCTGAAAGATCCGGTTCTTGGTCATGATCGCATCACCGCCGATGGCGTATCTGATCATGGCTAACTGACACGGCATATACCCATCCAACTCTATCAGTATCGCGAAGCTCATCCACTTCGTTCTGCCCAGGCGCCAGGTTTCGGGCAGTGAACACTCCGACATCTGTAATGGAGTCTGCATCGTGGCAAACGGTTGCCAGCCAAAGCAAGGCTGCTGATTGCTTTTCGCGTTCTTCTTTTCCTCTCTCACCATGTTGCCAGCCGTATCAAGAAAGAACTCACATCGGCTGTGCACACAAGCGTTCTATTCACAAGTCTGAGGTAATGTACAAATAGATGTGATTTTAAAAACTCACTCGCCCACACTGAGGTGGGCGATTCCCTTCGTCCCAGCTTTTAGCCACCATCACACAGGGTGTTTGTGTTTGCCTGTGAAGGAGTGTAGGCAGGCTGCCTTGATGAAACGTCACTCCCATCCACCTGCGTTGGTGTCTACTTTAGGTTCACACTGAGTGTGGGGTGTGTGGATGGGGTTGAGCGTGGTACAGTGGAAGTCATCCATGGTCCCTCTGTAGGCGCAGGCGTCCTGTGTATATCCTAAAGTAGTCGCAGTGACAGGCAAACCTGGAATCGGAAGCCGCTAGCCGCATCCGGAAGTCATGTGGTCGGCACCCGGCAGAGGTCCGAATAAGGCGCACTACTGGTGAGATCCGGAATGTCGAAACAACACTGTATGGTGATTTTTCGGACGTGTCAAGACCTGCTGCCTGAGAAGCGACTGCAACGAAATACCTCAGAAATTATACCCGAACCTCTACCCTCTAGTAATATATACATATATAAAAACTATTTACTTTGTCTGCCAACTTCATTTACTTCTACATCTGTTCTTTTATTTATTCGCTATACAGTTTATCAATCGGACCTACTACGACAAACTACCTGTTCAGGGGAATCTCTACCCCATGTCGTGTGCTGCGTTCCTCGAGGGCGATTGTGCCTCTTGTGATCCAGGCATTCGATCACGTCTCACGTTGCTCTCATCCTACGCCCTCGGTGTAACCAGTCCTGTAAGCGGTGAGCTCAGGGTGTGGCTGGATCGCCGCGCACCTCGCGACGACGATAGAGGTCTGGGCCAGTCACTCATTGGTCGTTGGTTTGGCTGCTCTCACTTTGTACTAACAATCGAGCTCGTCAACCGCTCTTCTATGGACAGCCTGAACGTGAGTTCTGTTGCTGAAGTTTGTTCAAATACATTTCTCGGTATTGGGCCATGACCGAAGTTAACTCGAAGGAGAGCCTGATAATGTTTGCACTAGTGTTACTGGGGAGTGTCGTTCTGTGACAGCACTGGTCAGTACATACCTTCACCTAGCGTACTCGTTTGCATTTCTATTGGGAAATTAGCTCTCAGTTAAAAACTAGATTCCGCAGTACTTTTACTGGTTTGTACTTATTTTACTGTTATATACTAGCAAACTACTGAGCGATGTAGATCTTTTGCTCGTCACTTGGTAACAGTTTTGCACTGTATCCTCTAATCTCTCTTATGTGCCTCCTTTTAGTGGGTTCCTCGACTTTCGCTGCCAACCCAGTTCGCTCTGCACGATTTGCTTCGACCTGTTCTCCGATTTTCCGTTGACCCCTCTGTTGCACGCTACATGGCACCTGCTCTCAATCTTTTTCCACCGAGCACTAACATCCCCTGTGATTATGAACTCATCAATTTGAAGACGTTCCTCACTTCAGGTAAAAATTTTACCACTCGTAGGTTTTCCTAGTCTGTTCGACTACCTTTGTTGCCCCTACCCTGCACTTATTCTACACTCGCCCGATTGCTTGGTTACTCACTTTCCTCCTTATCAGGGGGAGTAAATTCTCCCAGGAAAACTCACTAATTCAATAGGAAAACACGTTGTGCCAATATGAGGAAACCGAAACATCAAACCATGTTCGCGTCCACACTACGTGTCACCCACCTTCTCATTTGCTCATTTGATCTACTGAACAGGACAGTTGAACTAGCTGTTCTGATACGTGAACCTTTTTTGTTCCGTTATTTCTACACTACTTATTTCCGTTTCGGCAGCTACGTTTACAACACGCTTTTTGCCTCCAAGCGTTGTATTCTGATTTTCTGCTGGGATTCGGAGCAACCTGGAACGAGTTCAGTTCAATCGGGATTGCTTGCCAAGAGGCAGATCATTGCAAATGTCGACGGAGAAAAATGGCAATGTAATGAGCTCTGCAGAACGATTCCAAATGCTACTAAAGCAACAGCAGACACAACTGTAGGCGCAAATGAAGCTGATCGAGACCTAGACGCAACGGCTCAACCTGCAGTCTTCAGATACAACTACGTGGGACACGCAGACAATTAATTCCGCTACTGAATCCAGTTATGACGCTGATTCCGGAAACACTTTCGGTGCGTGGTTCGGACTCTGGTAGGATATGTTCAGAACAGACTTCAGTCGTCAGGATTACTGCTGGAAAGTGCGACTTCTGCTCTGTAAACTTAGCACAAATGAACACTCAAGGTTCCTTTATCACATAATGCCAAATGAGCCAAAAGGTCTCAGCTTTGTCGATGTCACAACTTATCGAATTTTTCGATGAGTCGTCATCACTAATCCGCATTCGCTTTGAGTGTCTGAAATCACTAAGCGGGACACATGATTATGGGGCACTGGCAAACATGGTCAACCGTGCAAACGCTACAACTTACGCTGTCTGTCAGATAATCAATTCAAGTGTCTTATATTTATCGGTGCCTTACAGTCACCAAAGGATTACATTATCTGCATAAGACTACTCTCAGCTGGATCAAGACTTGGATACGATGCTGAAGTCCTTTACGGTCATTTGCAAACGATTGATGACTCTTAAACAAGACACAGTCATGGTTGAGGATTCTTCCGCACAATCGTGAATTTCCATGTCTTGACAGGCTCCAATCGAAATAGGCCTAGCAGTTCCGCTCAGAAGTCACATAACAGACCATCTACTACCTGTCGGTTTTGCGGTGAGTGGCATTTTGCCCGGTCAACTAGCAATAATGCTTTTATGTCATGAACAGGACCACAAGGAAGGGCTCAGCAAGCGATCTCCAACGGTGAACACAAAACCGTTCCGTTCCAAGAAGAAAGTCGGAAACACTTGCAGACGCCCTATCACTTCATGCCGCTTTCCAGAGTGTTCAAAACACGTAACGAGATTCCTTCCAGCCTGCAGTTTGACACCGCGTCTGATAAAGCCATAGTTTCCTAGAGTACATGAAACCATGACAAGAGACCCGAGGTTGCTGCTTCTGATAAAGTGGCTCATAACACGTCTGGTGAAGTGCTGAATCTGATTGGAAAAAAATATCCTGCGAAATCTCATTTAATAGAGTGAGAAAGACTGAAAAATGCTATCTGAAGAACCGATCGAGTCTAGGCCTTCTTGGAATCGACTGGGCCGAGAGGTTAGGACTCTGATGTCCCTCTGAACCTGATTTTTAACCGTTATACGCGGAAGCTTCAAGCTTCGAACATAGAGCTCATAGCAGAAGCGATGATAAGCATGAAGCTCCACACGCCATCCGACATACTTCGACCAGCTCCTGAGTCCTCGTACGGCAAAAGGAGCCGAGGAGTGGAGCAGGAATTCAATCGACGACATGGAGAAAAGCAATGCCCACTCAAGTTCGGGTATTCAGTGCTAGCACGCAATTACTGGAAGGGCTAAGCAACATGGACTCCAAGTAAGATCAAATGTAAATATAGAGACGCTATTCACGATGTGCTGGTTGGATCGTAACCAGCTGCACCGAAACCTGTGCCGGACAGAAACGAAGAAGCCATCCGAGCTGCCTTTCGACCTTGTGGACCATTTCAACTTATCAAAACGAGATAGGAAGGGTCACAATCAATCGAACGATACATCCGATAGTCTAGAGCCAACTCCAAAAGCACTACAACCCAGGCAATGGATGGACAGACGGCAAACACCGTCTTCATTACTACAATTTAACCCAAATTTATCATGCTACATCGCATCCGCGATCTTAGCAGGGAAGATATCAAGGGGAGTAGAATCTCCCAGTAAAACTTACTAATTCATTGAAAAAAACGTTAAGCCAATAACGAATAACCGACACATCAGTGATTTTAAGAACCTTTCCGTCCGCACGACGTGTGCACCAACCTTCCCTTTGGCTACCGGAGCCGATCGACCAAGGAGGACAGCTGACCTAGCTGTTCTGATACGCGAACCTTCCTTATTTTACTTATAAATGTGCGTTCATTTCACACTTGTTTTCCTTTCGCTTCTTGCCTCCAAACATTGGCTTCTGATTTTAGGCTTGGATTCGGAACAGACAGAGAATCAGTTCAGTATAACTGGCAGATCATAACACTCCCTAACTGCATTTCGTTACTAGTGGTTCCGATTGATTCTTGTGTATGTTATTTTGCTAACTTATTTTCTCTTTGCTTACAGTCTACAGTGATGCAGTCCATCAGCATAGGTACCATGGACGGCTACTCTGTGTTCTCGATGCTTTATTGCAACACAATTACAAATGTTCCAGTTTCATCCCCCTAGTGATCAGCACACCGAACAGCGACCACTTCCATTGTAAACTCACAGAGATAACTAGAGTTAATACGATTACATCTCACTACCGCTACCATCATCACAAGCGGCTAACTGACGAGTGAAAACAAGGCATTGTGAACAAGATAGTTTAGCAATCTTTGTTGTCCGTGACCAAACACACGTGACCTGTCACCAAGTCGCTTTTCAAAATACCGTTTTAGAGCTTCTCCATAAGTTTACTATGTCGCATCGTTTTATGAGTCGTCCGAGCCCATCCCAGGGTTTGATGTCTCGTCTTTTACCTTTAAAAAATCCAGATTGAGTGGCGCTGTTAGAATGGACCGTGGCGTTTGACACGATAGTCTCTTCTCATCATCATCAAAAGTTGGCAGTGATTCGCTGGTCGCTGTTTTGTCTTCGCTATCCCGTATTATATTAATATGGCTTCAAACTAGTGGTTGGAGACCGTCATTACTAACATTGAAAGGCTCATAGATTGCCACATGAAAACGACCGAAGTAATAACCTTTTGTACTTGTATTCGACCTTCTTTACTTGCATGATCCTGTGGCGACTCCCCTAATAATAATAAATACTAATAATAATGTGTCAGCTGTATGCCGGAATGGCACTCCCCTGCCCGGCGACCACCACCAGTCGCACGTGGACTGAGTATACCGCCGAATCCCTTGGTATGGGGAATTAGCAATCGTAGGTTAGAATGCGCCCCAGTGGAGGTTGAACTCTATGTAATGAGAAAACGCTATACCTGCAGAGATAAAAGACTACTTACTGCTTGCCTTTCCTTCAGTACCTTGTGTTTATTTGCAGCATCGCTTCTGAAACGCCTGGTGGTTTTGTGAGTAGTGTAATTTTTGTAGAAAGTAGAAGCCACGATTAAACTTTGCCTGTGGTTGCGTTTTTGCTTGTTCACCACGACAGCCGAGGTGCATCAGAACTGTTCCAAATTTGATTTTTTATGCACACATCGAACGAATATTGAAGGAACTCGTTCTATCCTCCCTTATTAGAATAAATGCTCGGCATAGTGACCAACAAACAAATTTCTCTCACGTTGCCGAAATCGCTATTTTCAAGCGTGATCTGTCCGTTTTGTAAACGTTTCTGAGTCGCACACCCTTCGATGCGTGCTCCACAGCTTCAACGAGAAGGTGGCTGTTACGAGGCTGAGCTATTATGCCCCCTGCTATAACCATCGTCATAAACAGTCTGAAGAAAATGGTCTACAGCACCTTCCGGGCCGCACCAATGCGCGTCTGAAGGAAACACGACACGTTCTCTCCAAACTAAAACCTTCCAATCGACATGACTGCTCACTGTCTTTCCTATGGCGCGTAAAGTTAGCCAACCGCAGATGAGGCATTGCTAAATCAGCCTAGCGCGTGCGCTTTCTTGCGTATGCTGAGTGCGCGCTGTCTATCCTATAACGTCCAAGATAGGCCAGCCGCACATGCACGCTTTGCTAATTCCGCTACGGTTCATGCGCTGTGCAATAACAAGCTGCCAGAACGGATTAGTACGCTACCGTGGTACCCATCGCCAGGCTGCTGAACGACAAGCAAATGGCTGGCGAACCAAAAGTATCTACTACTTCACTTGGTGGTTTGCCTGTCCGTCCGCCCTCATAGCCCAATAAACTTCCCGTGTGCTTTTAATCAGGCGATGCAGTTTGGGGTCGAGTCAGCACTTCAAATGCGTCCACACAAAAGGGAAGAGTGACAAGTGTAACACTGAGCGCACGTGCAGTCTCATGGACGTTTTCGGTCATGTCGATTGGACGTTTTGTGTTTAGAGAGAACGCCTCAGGTTTCCTTCATACACGCGTTGCTGCGATACGGTAGGTGTTACTAGACCAGTTTTTCGGACTACCTGTATATATAGGTATGATGATAGCAACAGTCTATATAATGGACAAAGCCATAAAAATAATAGAATGAATTTGTGCAATAACTGAAACTGCAAATAGGGAAATAGGTAAACAAGGTGCTTTTTTGTGTTTTTCAAACGCTGTTTTGCCTTTTTTGTCGGTTTGTTAGTCGCGGTGTAGGTCCTTTAAATCAGTGCATAACTTCATACAAGTCTTCCATTGAGACTGATTCCGCGTAATGTTCTTAAAGTTTTCCGTCCAGCGGTGTTTTTCCTCATTG